TCTATCTATCTGTCTACCTATCTATTTATTGATATATCCATCCATCTATCTATCTACTGAGCTATCTATCCACCTAGCTGCCTACCCGTTTATCTATCATGTATCTATCCATCCTCAATCTTTGCCATCTGTTACTCACCTTATCTAATCTGTAATTTATCTGTCTGCCCACCTACGCAGTTCTGGGTTCGCTGCAAAAAGCCGTCCACCGACCCAAGGCCAGACACAGCGGTCTTGTCCGTTCAGCCCCTTTCTGTAAGACATCCGTGCTGTATTGCTCCCGTGTTGCTCATTCGTCCTCGTCTTGGGGACCTTGTAGTCACAGCCTGGCTTCGCCTCTTGCGTGGAGCGCTGTGGGAGGTGACTGCAGCACATCTCCAAGAGCAGGAGTCATGAAAAATGATGTTCATTCACGTCGTGGCGATGTTGCCCGGCCCTGATGCTGAGTCTTCGGCTTCCGTCGCGTGAAGGCCGCTCCCTTCACCCCATCTTCGTTGGAGCTGTTAAGGTTGGGCCTGCAGGCTCCAGGGCCAAGCCTTGCAAAAAGTGCAGGCGCCTCAAGGCCGGAGTCTGGAGAGTTAAAGGAAGACCAGTACAAAGTCCAAGGGTGCCTGTGCGTGCGATTTCGAACCCTTCATGAGGGGCCCTCTACATCCGACTATCCTGACAGGCTGGAACCCTGGCAGAAGCCCCTACACAAGCCGCCCTAAACCCTGAACCCTAAACTCCAAACCCTAAGCCTCTACGCAAGGGCCTCAAAAGCCCTCAAAGACTCGTGGGCCACGGTGCTGCACTCCCGGCGGCAGATGCAGCAAGGTGCCGGGCTCAGCCGGAACCTCGGAACCCCTAAACCCTGAACCCCAAAACCCTAAAAGCCCAAACCCCAATACCCTTTTACAACCTCAAACCCTGAACCCAATATCGTATTTCCTTTAGCAAGCAGCTTTCTAGCGATTCGAGCTGCTGACTGAAACTGAAGGCCGTTTTTCCCCCTTTCGAAGCTTTTAAAACCCTCGAAGCACTTCTATTTTCCGAAAGCGAAAACGTTTTAGTAATACTTCAATTTGTGTTTTGGACATGCGTTCTTGTTTATCGGAAAAGACGTTTCACTGATAGTTTTTGTTCAATGAAAACGAAGACAACATGTTTGCCATGACTTTGCCTTTGTTGTTGAATTTGTCTGTCGAACTGTTGTTTTTCGCTTTTTGCTTTCCCCAGAGGCTTGAGAAGGGGCTTGAAGCTTCTACAGGGAACAAGCACGTTCGAAGCCTTCCTTCATCAAGTCTCCTTCAAGCCACTTCTGGAGGCTTCGTTCTTCGTGCTTGATCCCCGAAAAACCCGAACAACAAGCTATTGATGTCAGGCCACCTCGATACGACTCCACTGCCCGGATCCAGCATTCCGCTCTGTGATAGCAAAGCGGCCATTTCCTGCGGTGTAGCAAGATCGTATGTGTTTGTACGTTTGCGCATTTGTCCCTGTGCATGTTTCCAAGTCCACCACTACACCTGTGTTCCAACCCAATGCTTCCGCATCTACGATCGTGAGTTGCGCATCTATGGGTATCTGTTCATTCATATGGGGGGTCTTCACCTCTGGTTATCCACGTGCCGTGTGCGTGTACGAGCTCAGATGTGCGCTCCGAAATTATCCATGACCGCAGGTATCATAGCCACACACGTCTTCATGCATGTAGCCAGTGAAAGCCTAGATGCAGTCCAGTGCAGCCATGGGCAAACCTCTGTGGAACAACGGAAGTACATATGTGTGTATGCAGGCAGGCACGCAGGTATGTATGTATGGATGGATGGATGGATGGATGTATGCATGCATGCATGTGACAGATTAGGCAGTCTAATATGTGCATATACATATACATACATATATATATATATATATTTATATTTATATTTATATTTATATGTATACACACACATGCATGCGCAGGCACATCCATCCATCCATCAATCCGTCCATGCACGCAGACATGCATGGATACATAGATACGGAGGCACATACAAAAAGCAAAGGTTTTTACACATACTCACCCACAGACTGACTTACTTATGTGCCGGCTTGCTTGCTTGCTTGCTTGCTTGCTTGCTCGCTGACCTACATACATACATACATACATACATACATCCAGCCTGACAGACAGACAGACAGACGGACAAACAGACAGACAGACAGACAGACAGACAGACAGACAGACAGACAGACACACAAACGGATGCACTCATGCGGACCAAATCCGGACGGCTCTGGATCACCCTCCTGACAGCACGTAGAACATCTCGAACATGTCTTCGTGGTCGTGATCCTCAAAATATGTCCCTTCCAAGAAATCGGCTGCGCTGATCTGGGTCAACGGCGGAAGTTCGCCTTTCCGCAGAAACACCTTCTTCCTGAATCTGAGAAACTAGCAGTAACCAGCGGATTGAAAGACGATACTTGAACGAAAAGCTTGTTAGATTATCGCCTGCATGTAGAACACTTCAAGCAAATATCTGTAAAACGTGCCGGGACATCAACCAAGCTGCGTATTGGTGTAAGGTTCGTGGTTGATCTTGAATACGGGCGCATCCTCCCAGCTTGTAATCCGCGGCGTGCTGGCACATGGGTACCGGTCGTGTCGTCCATCTTGCAGGCCCATGTTCTCCTGTTGGGCGTATATTTTATACCCGTCAAGAAGCACTGCGAGTAGAGGCTTCTGGGATTTCGCGCTCACGATGCGAAGCTGCTGCTGAACCGTCCTAAAAGATCAGAAAACTGCTCCATTCGTCTCTGGCCTCGTGAAGCCTAAGCCGCCTAAGACCTGGGGTCCTTGTGCGTGAAGACTTCCGTGCCGACCGGCTCGCACAGAACCCATCCGAGAAGGATGGGCAAAGCCCGGCTGCAACATTCCCGGTGCATGCAGTGCACTTGATCCGAATGACCCACTCTAGGAGTGAACAGTCGTGTAAAAGAAGTCTCCTCCCAACATCTTTGACAAAGGCTGGTGCTGAAAACAGAGGCCGGCAATGTTTCCTGCATAGGTATGACGGCGGGGACCGCAAGTTATGTCAGAGAATGAATATGTGACAATGTCGATGTCGAGACTGAAGAGCCTGCAGAGCAATATTCAATTATTCGCTGCACAAGCCGGACAACAACAAACACACCGCAACCCTGAGGTCCTGCGGGAGTACCATCTGATGACGAAGAAGTCTGCGCGACTAATATGGGAGCCTTTAATTTCAGCTTGGGGACGGAAAGGGAAGACGGCTGGAGAATCATTCAATCAGGCCCGCTTTTTTCACTGAATTTGCAGAGGGCAGTCCTCCGGTTCGTTTCTAAAGCAACTGCTAGAATCTGCGAGAACAACATGTCCCGGGCCCAGCAACATCTGTCCAAAACACCGGCTCAACTTGCCACAGACCCAAACACATACATACTACCAGAACAGCCGAGAAAAGCACGCAGATATCCGAATCTGTACAGACACGCTGCGACTCCTTGAGCACGATTCAAGCCCCAACGCTCCAACAACCCCGAAAATGAAATCGATATTACCGACAACATCAAACCCGCAGCTCCCTTTCGCCCCGGAACCACGACAAAGACCGCATGATGCCAAGGACGAGACCATGGAAACGAAACGCTGCATGGCCTCCGACGAGGCTGAGCTTACAAAGCATTTTGCTGGGTGATTCGCGTAGATGTAGCAGAACCAGTGCACGGAGTGAAAGAAGAAGAAGGAGTAGTCGGTGGCAGTAGTGGTCGCAGTTGCAGTAGTGGCAGCAGCAGCAGCGGCAGCAGCAGCAGCAGCAGCAGCAGCAGCAGTAGTAGAGGCAGGAGTAGTAGTAGTAGTAGTAGTAGTAGCAGTAGGAGGAGGAGGAGGACGAGGAGGAGTACTAAGTAGGACAGCAGCAGCAGCAGCAGCAGCCGTCGGTCGTCCTCGTCATTATCAGTTGATCGCAGCTGTTGCTTTTGCGCTGGGTGCAAAGTCATTATGACGCAAGATATGATTCTTATCTGTTCCGCCAGCTCCGTCTCCTTCTGCCAATGCTTCACGGCCTTCATCGTGGCACGGCCCGGCGTGCCGCTAAAATCTTGCAGATCCTGGAAAATCTCACCTTGGGCTCTGGCTCGGCTTGGAATGTACAATGCGAGCTGCAGACTTGTGGCTGTCCGCAAGGGAGGTTGTCGGCAAGAACCCCTGTACTGGAGGATATACCAAAGTTGATAGCTAGCACCCCGACTGCTTCCAGACCGAAAAGAAGCTTGTATTTACGATTCACATATCTACTGCAGACAACTGTTCACATGCTCTTGAAGACAGCAATGCCACATTACCATACATGACAATCGGGTTTTGGTAGCAGCATGTAGCGGCAATCAAATTACAACCAGATGGCGCAACACTGGGCACAGCATGGCTCCAAGCACTGTGGCAGCTTCACGCAACAACCTCTGGAAGTCAAGGCTCATTTCACGGCTCTAGGAAAGTATTGCTCAAGGGCTCTTGAAGCAAGCTAAGCAATGACATAGACACAGTAGCAAGCCCCTGACCGAGGAGGGTGTCACGAACAGAACGCTCGCCCTTGGGCCTCAGCATTGCAGGCTTAGGTTTAAAGGGCTTCGCAGTTTAGTTTCCGGCGGTGGGAAGGAAGCCTTGCAGTATTGGTTCTGTACACCATTTTGGCAGCTTTTGGGCATTGGAGTTGCCGGGGTTCTGGCTTCAGACATTCCTGCCTCCTGTCTTCGTTATTCCCCTGAGCATGAAAGAAGCTGCGACCAACGATCACAATGAGATTGACAAACAAGCACAAACGAACTGCAGTACAACTGGATGCGAACACAGTTTTCTGGTTCCCCTGACAAGCTGCTGATCTCATTAAGTCGGGCGAGCAAGCACCCAGCACCGGACATGCATGCGCCCAAAGTGCTGAAAGCTTAAAGGGATGGCTTTAGAAAGGTCCTGGCGCAGTGCCGTTGTCAGCAGCACCTCAAAAGCGGTGGGTTTTGCAGTTGGGGTTTGCACCCGTCGACAGGGGGGTGAAGGGGAGGGGGTTTCTACTGCAGGATGCAAGGCTCCAGAGTACCGGCTTTTTCGGGTTTGGCAAGGGGCTTTACACCTCAGCTGGCTTTCTGTTCCGAAGCTTGACTTGAAGTTTGGTTGTTTGCGGAGTTCATGTGGTTTCAGGGTCTGGGGCTTTGCTTAGGGCTTGATGGTCTTGTTTAGAGTTCAGGATGTAAGGTTCGCAGCAAGGGAATGTTCAACGTAGCTTTGCGTGATCTGTTTGAGCCTTTTCCAAGAAGGAAACTGAACAAACCAACCTCTGAATCTTGTTTTAGAAATTGGAGTCTGCATGATCAGTAAGAACATCATGTTCCAAGCATTCTAGGCCCCACATCTAGGCATAGCATTAAACAATCACCCAAAAACAACTGCTCTAAGACCTGCGGCCCTTTTCCACACCCTCCCCAAAACCGAACCAAGAAAGGTCGAGCTAAATTTATACACCCCTGTGCAGAATGATGCCGTGCAGCCATAAAGACACAGAGCTCTCAACTAAGGCCCTGTCGTCCTGAGCCCCTCTGGCCCCAAACCCCCAAAGCCATGAAGTCCTGGACCCCTACCGCCCGAAACCCTAAACCCCTGAAGTCCTGAACCCCTGAAGCCCCAAACCCCTGAACCCTAAACCCCTAAACCCTAAACCTCGGAAGTCCAGCCCCACAAGGCGGCACCCCAAGGCCCCCCGAAAACTGCACTGAGGCTGGGCCTGGAGCGTCGTTCATATCCTCCTGCCGCGGACACTTAGTTCTTATACAAAACGAAACTTAAGAGCATTGGGGTTTACGGGTTTGGGGGCGAGGGTCTCGTAGGACTTGAAGCCTCTTAAGCCACGTTGTACGGGGTTTTCAGTGTTTCTGGTCTGTGGCGTTTGCGGAACCCACTCCTAATCTTAATCGGATTCGGGGTGAAGCCAGGTTGTGAAATCCTGAGTATCTCGTGTGAAAGTACATGTAGTCCCCTAAACCCCTAAACCCTAAACCCTGAACCCCTAAACCCTAACCCCTAAACCCCTAAACCCCTAAACCCTAAACCCTCAACCCCTAAACCCCAAACACACTAAACCCCTAAACCCTACACCCTCAACCCTAAACCCCTAAACCCCTAAACCCTAAACCCTCAACCCCTAAACCCAAAACCACTAAACCCCTAAACCCCTAAATTTTGAGACACTCCCGCTAACCGTCACTAAAATCCTCGGCCTTCGGGGTTCAGGGAGTTTGTCTGTTTAAAGTGGTTTAGGGCTTTAGGGTCTAGGGTTTTAGGGTCTAGGGTTTAGGGTTTTTGGGGTTTAGGGTTTCGGGTTTTAGGGTTTTAGTTTTAGGGTCTAGGGTTTCAGGGCTTAGGATTTTAGGGTTTAGGATTTTAGGGTTTAGGGTTTCGGGTCTGGGAATTCAGTCTCTAAGAGCTTGAAACTCTAATCTCGGAGCACGTCGTCGTATAACGGAACACCAGGAAGACTGGATGCTGCACATTTGTTCCAAAGAGTGCGCATACACACACACCCACACACACACATATCCAAGCGAGAACCGCAATTGTTAAGTACATGGCTGCAAATGCACGGTATAACCGTTAACGTATACCTGACAAGGCAGTACCCATCAAACGCCCATGCAATCGTCACACACAGTGATCTAACCTCAGGAGCCATGTGGCCCACTCCCTCCACGCATGTAGTCTCAAGGATTTCTCCAGACCTGCTGAAAAACCTGCCATCTCCAAAAAGTCGGCCAAAAACGCCTTGAAAGCCAAATGTAGGGGCCTTAATAATCAGAACAGGGTTTTGGGGCCTTCCTTATTACAACTACAATATAAAATAACCCCCAAACCCTATTCTCATTATTAAGGCTTCAATAATCCTATATTATATAGACCTTAAGGGACCTATATTCCTATATTCTATAGACCTTAAAAGACCTAGATTCCTACATTATATAGACCTTAAAAGACATTTACTCCTATATTATATAGCCCTTAAAAGACCTAGATTCCTATATTATTATAGACCTTAAAAAAGACCTTAAGCCCGAGACGGAAACTCTTGGGGGCTACCGACCTCGTCATCGGAGCTCTGGCTGTAGGACTCCTGAGTGGCCGCAGCGGCTACGGAACTTACCTCGTGGGAGTTAGGGTTTTAGGTTTTAGGGTTTTAGGGTTTAGGGCGCAGGGTTTAGGGTTTTAGGGTTTAGGGTTTACGGGGTTCCTGTCCACTTCTCGATCCTGTGAGCGCCAGGTGGGAGAACTTACCACTCTCCCACCCCAAACCCCAAACCCTAAGCCCTGTAGCCTCGGTTGGTGGGGCGCCTTCCTGGCCTTTTTCGAAAAGAAAGTACCGCGGCACGGTGCAAGTGAAGCAAAATGTCTATCACATGGCGGACTGGATTTTTCATACAAGACATGTTTTTGTACATCGATGCACAACAGAAGCATATTCCCATAGCAGGGATTTAGGGGTTTCCGAAAATAGACCCTAAATAGTAGGATCCTTATTATAAGGACCCCCAAAAATAAGGTACCCGAACTTTCGGACAGTCCCATTTGGGAGGCTTTGAAGCTCTAGGGCCGTTCTGGTAGGTGGGAGGCCGGCTCGTAGCTGCTTGATCAACCGACTGGGAAGGCCTCTGTGGGACCTGTTTAAGTGCAAGGGCCAGGGGATAAGGATTTCAGACAAAGATCGAGGAGTGGGAGGTTTCTGCAGTTGCAAGGAGTGCGAGTAGGAACTACGATGATACCTGGGCTGTTTTGAACGAGTTTCCGATATTAGGATACGTGCTGTATGCGGAGTTGCGGACGTTCACAATTCAAGGGACCCCGATCCGGAACAACCCCTATCGTTGTTCTCTGCACTATATAG